AAGTCTATTCGTGTTTTTTTATTTTTTAGATATCTCACTTAACTTTTTGAAATCTCACCCTGTTTTTGAGAAAGGGTGAGAAATTCTCACCCATTTTTTTTCTGAGATGAAAACACTGATATATATATATACAAAGCGATTCGATTGATTTTTTTTAATGATTACATTGGCCCCTAAACACAATATTTAACTATTACAAACTTTTAACTAACTATACATAATAAATCCACATTTGTTTTTTATTTTGACTAGAAAAACATTTAGCAAAATATATAAAATCATTCCATAATTCCATAGTTAATAATATTATATACTTAGTTAATTATACAATTATATTCTTTCTTGGCTTTAGAAAAAATATTATAAATTGAGATATCTTAAGAGAACTTGCTGGTTTAGCAAACATCAGAACACAAGGTTGATAATGATTCGATATTTCTGCCACAAATGTCTTATAAACACAATTCCAAAATGTTAAAACAAAAATCATTTTTAATTAAAGATTTCAATAATTACTTTGCGATGCATATTTTTAGCAATTAAAAATATTTTTCAATAATTTAAAATACAAACTTTATTGTCATTTTATATCACAAAAATTAATTCACTTTCGTAAAATAATTAAAGATCAAGATATTGAGCAAAATAATAATTAATAAACAGTTATTCAAAATTAACTAACTTTGCATAGAATTATAAAACACCTAGCAAAATTAGTCAAAGCAAATTTGTCAATCGAAATCAACAATAAATGATTAAAATTTTGACCAGGACTGCGGGGCTGGTAATCTACAAGTTCAACTCTAGACTTCTCTGAAAATTGAACTCCAACTTATAAAATAAGTCCTTCTTAAATAAAAAAGATAATTTCTTAATAAAAACAACGATTGTTCAATTATTTCAATTTCTGTGCCTTCTTCTAATTCAGTCACCGAAGACCCTATATTGTCAGAAATATATCGGGATGTTTAAAAACCATGTAAAAATCAAAATCAATAACTGACGAAAAAACAATCAAAACACTACTTACAATAGTATCGGCATAAAGAGAGTGCATTAAATGTGATTATTTAAATGCACAATTTAAATTTTAAATGCAGAAATAATATTTACTGAGAAATAACTGAAATTTTAAAAAACCTGTGGATCTTCGTAGAACTAGCAATAAAAAGTCACAAAACATAACGAAGGGGGAAAAAATAAAACAAAATCCTGATGTTTCTTATACAATTACTACATTGAGTTATGGAGTTACACAAATAATTAAATTGTATGAAAAGCATCAGGATTTTGTTTTTTTTTTTCTCTTTTTTAAATGTTGAAACTTGTAGCAATAACTGTTGAAAGAACAATTGAAATATCGCACAGATTAGCAAGAATATTGGAGCAAAATGAATGTGTTAAATAATGATTTCTTAAATCCAGTTGATATAATATTATCAATATAATTCAAAAAATCAGCAGAATATGAGTAATAATTGAGCAATTAAAATGAAATAATTTATTGGAGTTTTTCAAATAATTTAAAATTGTATGAAAAATATCGGCATTTTTCTTTGTTTTTTTAATGTCGAAATTTGTAACAATAACTGTCGAAAGAACTATTGAAATATCGCATGGTTAAACAAGTATATTGGTGCAAAATGAATGCGTAAAACAAAGATTTCTTAAATCCATGTGAATCATGTGATGTAATATTATCAATAGAAAAATCGCGAGCATTTCTTTTCTCTCTGATGCACGTGAAAGGAATCTTTTGAAAAATAAAGCAAAAGTTTTGTTAAATAATCCTGGAGAAAAAATCTTTTGAAATTTTGGTAGAAAAGCAAACATAATTTTTTTCATTATTCTTTATTTTTCATTATTTCTAAAATTAAGAATAGAAAAATTACAAGCATTTTTTTTCCCCTCTGATGCGTGAAAAAGGCATATTTTGAATATAATTACGGAGAAAAAAAATCTTTCGAATATTTCAGCAGGAAAGAAATTTTTTACTCCATTATTTTACATTCATCTCAAATAAGAATGGAAAAATCCCGAACATTTTTTTCCCATAGGTACGCGATACACAACCATACGCGAAAAAAGAATCTTTTAAATATAATTTTAGAGGAAAACAACTTATGGCTTAATTTAAGCAAGTGGCTTCTTAGATTAAAAACTTATCACTACAATTGCTTCTCAAGTTCTGTTTTCTTATTGGGGGGGGGGAGAGATTTCTGTATCGTGATCTGCGCCAGAACAATCGCCAAGTGTTAGAAACTTCCGACCAGTGGCCCACGACAAACTTTAAAAAAAAACATCACAGAAAGGGACTAGCTCATAGCCACAACATCTAAATTTTTTTTCCTTTAAAAATTTGCAAGTTTAAAATCTATTTAGCACCTTGGCAATTGTAGTTGGCGCGACAGATCACGATACGGACATATCATTGTTTTTTTTCTACTTATGTATTTGCTCTATGATTCTTTGCATTTGTTGTAATTTTTTAAACTTGCCATTGGGAAGACAATTTACGGGTAGGCCCACGAGAAACAAAAAACTGACCACATTGCTGACATAAAATATCTTCAGTGGTAGACGAATCATGGGTGAGAGTTCCCTTGCCATAAAGGTTAATTTCTCTCAATACTTGATCCAGGAGTTCCCTTGTCTTCAGGATCGCGTTCAAAATTAAAAAAATAGAAGTTTATCTTTTATTTCTATCATCCTCACAGACCTACGAAAATACAATTCTTATTATCTTTTAATAACTTTCTAAACGAGAACGACTTTTTGAAAAAATAAGTTACTTTAGAATTGATTTTTTTAAAAAGTTTCTAGCCTACTAGCAAGCTACATCAGATGTTATGTTTATAACTCACTCATATTTAAAAGGTTTCTCTGCCAAGCTTTGTAAAGTCGAAGCACATTTCTACGAGCTTCCTCACGAGAAGTTGATATTAATGGACGAACTTGTTTAGTTGCTTGTCGAGCTAATTGTCCAGACATATTAGAAGAATATTAAAATTTATATTGACAAGGTTATTCCTAAAATTAACCTCGAAGTATTTGTTTACAAGATATATCTGAGTTTATTTACGCATCTTCGTGGAACGTGAAGTTTTCTAGTTTATTCGGTTTAACTGCAGTACAAGGAAACGAGAGACTTAATGTACGAACATTTATTGCACTTTTGATAACAGTTTGAAAACGTTTGCATTTAAGAACGACTGATGCGTTGCACTTTCTTATTGCCAAATCTGAAAAATGAAATAAAGCGATAAATACAATGCTGCCAAGTATTTAACATAAGATGAATAAAACTGAATAATTTTACAATTTTTTAAACAACAGAGCTTTATTAAGTTTCCTCTGCTTGTAAATTTTTGTTAAAAATTATTTGGTTTCAAAATCTTTAATTTTTACTGCCTGAAATCATAGGAAACTATAAATAGCATTAATTCAGTAACCGTGTACTCGGGGACTTCACTTGTGATACGACGATTGTGGTCGTGTTCACCTTTCGTCCTTTCGAAAGAGTTTGTACTAAATAACTTAAAAAATGGCTTTTATGTCCCTTCGTTTAACTAGTGTTGTCGCTAAACAACTTTCACAAAAACTACCAAAGGTAAATAAAGCTCTTAGGCATTTTTAAAAGAACATTGCATTTCTTAAAATATATATTAAGTTAACAAAACAGCATGCTATCCACCGGGCGGTGTTTTGAAAATTCAGATTTTATCTTCATTTATTCAAAAGCAAAACATTGTTGAGCGGAATATCAATTAAATATTACCATCTTTCTCTTTTAATAAACAATTTCATTTATGCGACAAATAAGATACCGAGACATCTTCCTCAAGCCTAAGTTATTTCCTCTGATATTTAATATTCTCGGCTCTAAATTGGAGCCAGTATTTATGAACAAAATATATATGTTTTCTAAAATTTGCTTGTATGTGACTTAAATTTTCAATCTCAAAACTTATTTAATGCTTTTTAAAGGTATGCATAGCACAAGATATTTTTTTATCATTAGGCCTCAAGTAAATTGAAAGGGCATTTAATAATTAAAATAGTCTGTAAACATGTATAGTATCTCTATATTTTATAATTTATGTGTTGCATATTATATTTTCCAGGTTTCGCATAGAATATCTCCATGTCTTGCAAGATATTTGAGCACAAGCAAAGCTGCTGCTGCAGCAAGTCAAGGTGTGAAAAATTAATTTAGTCTCCAAGATTATTTAGCATGTTGAAATTGCATTTAAAAAGTGTATTTACTTTTAAATGTCTCATAATTGTGTCTAAGAAACCTTGTTTGTATTAAGGTTATTTTAAAGGACAAACCTAGGTTACCTTAACTATGGTGTTTCACATAAGAATCTTAATTATTTAAATAAATTTGCAAATTACGGAAACAGCATTTAAATTGTATAAGAATGTAATAGAATTATTTTTGTTCATACAAGATGTAAAATTTTACTTTAAATGGTAAACATTCTTCAATGTCTACCGTTTTATCTATTTTTAATTCTCCAAAGACTATCATTGCTATAGTGATGAAGTATAAACTTATTTTTTATTCAGCTAATGTTTAAAATAGTTTTCAGTTTTCGAACTGCGAATTTAAGGTTGAAGATATAAAATTGATATTTATTCAATGCATACCCTGCTTTTGCAATTTTGGTGAAAATTTTTTTAAGGTATTGAAATTATTCATTGTAAATTTAGTAATCATTCTAAATTTATTTAAAATCTGTCCAAGTTATTATTTCAAAGAAAACAATTCAGTAGTTTAATACCAATTGACAAAAATAAAAAGGTTTTTTTTTTTTATTTACCTTCCAATTCATCTGATAATGTGTATGAATAATACTTAATCGTAATCAATAATGTAACTAAAACAATTAGTTTTTCTAACTAATCACTGAAACAGAATAAAACTAGTTACTTTCGTCCAAGAGCTAAATATCGTAATATTTCAATAACTGAGAATATTTCTCATATATCCAAAGAAGAGTAAATTAGTTTCAATCAGAATGTATTAAAGAAAAATAATTATTTCAAGTTTCTTTGGGCAAAAATAAGTATTTTCCATTATTGGTATATATATATATATATACGATATTCGTATATATACAATATCTATATGTTTAATAAGTTAAAATAGCTCTTATATTGAATTTAACAAAACACTTGATGGGTATAGTTGAAATATGTTTCTTGCTAGCAAATTGTTTTACACAATGCTAATGGGAGAATATAATTTAACAATTTTAATCCACTTTTTTCTCTAAATTTATTTAGTTCTCCATTTTGAAATATAATAATTTACATATACTTTCTTAGCATTACTTCTCTGGTTAAGACTTAGACTATCAGTAATATTGGATTTAAAAAAGAATTATCCCTAGGAATATATGTATAAATGATAGTGCATAAAAATAACTTAGTATGTTAGATTTATTTTTTAAAAAAACGACAATTTGTTTAAATAAATTTCTTAACCAATAATAGCTTATTTAAATCAATTAAGTCATGCTAATCTTGGTTAATACAATGAAAATTCTATAAAGATAGCATTATTAAAAAAACTTAAATATGGATGCTTTTTATTTATAATATGAATATAAAATTAATTAAACAAGTCAAGTAATAGTTAAGCTATTTTTGACGCATATGCAGTAGTTATTTTAAATGTACAATATTAAACAGGTGCAGCAGAAGTGTCTAGCATCTTAGATGAACGAATCCTAGGCTACACACCCCTTGCCGAATTAGAAGAAACTGGCCGAGTACTCTCAATTGGAGATGGTATTGCTCGTGTTTATGGCCTTACAAACATTCAAGCTGAGGAGATGGTTGAATTTTCCAGTGGCCTTAAGGTAATTCTTTAATTGGTCTAGTAATTATGGAAAAAAAGTATTTCTTTTGAAAAATTAATAGATACAGTATATTTTCACTAAAGGCTTTGTTCTGTTATTATAAATGATACCTAAAAACTTCTTTATGTTTGTTCCTTTTTTGTTGAGAAATAAGTGATTGAAGAGAGAAGATTAATTTCTTCTTGATAAACAAGGAAGACATATTTTCCATTTTATTTTTTCACTCAGAATTGAGGGGGACCAATCTTGAGACAATAAGACAAGCAATTTCAAAGTTATTAGTATTATATACTCAAGAAGTATATAATACTAATAATACTTCTTAATTTGTAATTACCTATATGTGCATCTAATAAATTATACCTAAACAAGTGTGCGTGACTTATGTTGTTTTATTTGATTCAGTGAGAAAAAATACATAGAAACAATGTCTCACTTGTTTAGGTAGCAATATTGAATATAAAAGAAAATAGGAATAAGTAGAAATATGTATTTTTTAAATAAAATGCTTATAACTTCTAAACTATTAGTCTAATTGCCTCCAGATTAGTCTGACTCAATTCAGTGGGGGAAATACTTTGAAAATATACTTCACTTGTCTGTCTGAAAGAAAATAAATTCTCCCAGACAAATCACGTTCATTTTCCTCATGAAAGAGGGAAGCGTACTTCAGAGTGTGGGACAGTTTTTAGGTAGCATTTATATTAACATAACTAATTTTTTAATGTTTAATGATTTCTAGTAAGCTGTTAATTGAAAAATAGTAATTGGTGCCGATTTTCCTCTATTTAGAACAATTAATAATTATTTTAACTCTTATGAGCGTCTGTGATTTAAATAATTTGAAGCAGAACCACTGGTTATGTTTTGTTCATTTAGTTATATCTTTATATGCTTTAAGAATATAGTTTTGGAATGAAAAAATATAAGTAAAACAAAATATGTATTTGTTTACAATCTGCACTAAAAACTTGCTATTGTTATTTCAGTTAAGTGTAGAAGTAAAACTTTTGCATAGNGACCAGTTATGTTATTAGTCTGACTCAATTCAGTGGGGGAAATACTTTGAAAATATACTTCACTTGTCTGTCTGAAAGAAAATAAATTCTCCCAGACAAATCACGTTCATTTTCCTCATGAAAGAGGGAAGCGTACTTCAGAGTGTGGGACAGTTTTTAGGTAGCATTTATATTAACATAACTAATTTTTTAATGTTAAATGATTTCTAGTAATCATAGTAAGCTGTTAATTGAAAAATAGTAATTGGTGCCGTCTGACCAATGACCAGTTATGTTATTAGTCTGACTCAATTCAGTGGGGGAAATACTTTGAAAATATACTTCACTTGTCTGTCTGAAAGAAAATAAATTCTCCCAGACAAATCACGTTCATTTTCCTCATGAAAGAGGGAAGCGTACTTCAGAGTGTGGGACAGTTTTTAGGTAGCATTTATATTAACATAACTAATTTTTTAATGTTAAATGATTTCTAGTAATCATAGTAAGCTGTTAATTGAAAAATAGTAATTGGTGCCGTCTGACCAATGACCAGTTATGTTATTAGTCTGACTCAATTCAGTGGGGGAAATACTTTGAAAATATACTTCACTTGTCTGTCTGAAAGAAAATAAATTCTCCCAGACAAATCACGTTCATTTTCCTCATGAAAGAGGGAAGCGTACTTCAGAGTGTGGGACAGTTTTTAGGTAGCATTTATATTAACATAACTAATTTTTTAATGTTAAATGATTTCTAGTAATCATAGTAAGCTGTTAATTGAAAAATAGTAATTGGTGCCGTCTGACCAATGACCAGTTATGTTATTAGTCTGACTCAATTCAGTGGGGGAAATACTTTGAAAATATACTTCACTTGTCTGTCTGAAAGAAAATAAATTCTCCCAGACAAATCACTTTCATTTTCATCATGAAAGAGGGAAGCGTACTTCGAAGTGTAGGACAGTTTTTAGGTAGCATTTATATTAACATAACTAGGTTTTTTATGTTTAATGATTTCTAATAATCATAGTAAGCTGTTAATTGAAAAAGAGTAATTGATGCCGATTTTCCTCTACTTAGAACAATTAATTATTATTTTAACTCTTATGAGCATCTGTGATTTAAATAATTTGAAGCCGAACCACTGGTTATGTTTTGTTCATTAAGTTAGTTATATCTTAATATGCTTTAAGAATATAGTTTAGGAATAAAAATTTAAGTAAAACAAAATATGTATTTGTTTACAATCTGCACTAAAAAATTGCTATTGTTATTTCAGGTAAGTGTAGAAGTAAAACTTTTGCATAGTTGTGAGAATATATGACATAAGAGTTAAATGTCACAATCTAGTGTAGTTGTAGATAATTTGCTATGAACTTAGTTGTGACATTATTGTTTTTTCTCATGATTTCTGTAATGCTTTCTCAGCTTAACATTCTCCACCTTGCTTTTGCAAAACAGTTTTTGTACGTTACAGATTACAGCTGTTTTATAGATTTCAAAATAGTTCCTAAAGTTTAAACAACTATTGGAAAAACTTTAATATAATTTGATTCGGAAAATAATTTGATCATCAAATATAATGAATCGTAAATTGCTGAAACACAGAAAAATTTAGCTCGTAGTGTGAAATACCTAACTTTTATTCAGATTTTAAATTAGCCAGAAGTTTTGACTGTTTACAAACTATAAAAAAAAAAAATTAAAAATACAAACATATTTGAAATAAATAGGAAAAGTCTATGTTGGAAAATACATTAAAATAGCTAATTTTCTGATAACGTAAATAACTTAATAGTTTTAAATTTCATGTCAGTCTTAAGTTTAAGATTAGTGATTTCTGCTCTCCACATGGCATTTTAAATAAAAATTAAAAAAAAGTGGCTAATAAGAAAATGACTTTCATTAGGGTAATTTAAAGTAATATAAAAGGTTTTGTAAGTTCGCAATTCTAAGTTATAGAAAAAATTAGTGATTTTTTTCAATTTTAATAATTTTTTTCTAGAAACATGATACATTCAAGGAACTGTGACTGATAAAGTACTAATATGGCATGTGCAAATGAATAATTCTATTTTTTAATAAATTAAAAGAAATATTCAGCAGTCTATAAGTTGGGATGCTATTTTAGAATGTTTATACGGTGATTTTATTTATAATTCACATTAGCATATGAATTTATATATCTAAGCAGTTAAGGTACAAAATTAATTTCTCTTGCTAACCATGTGAAAAGCATCCCTTAAGAAAAAGAATTGTAATTAGAAAAGTGTATTTAAAATCTGGTGTAACCTTTAAACTCAGGTTGAGAATTTATTGTATTCTAAAATTTTATTTGTATCAACATTTTTATTATGGATTGTCTGATCTCTCATTGCTGTTATGTTTTTTTGGGTTTCAAATATGACTTTATTTTATGTATAGGGTATGGCCTTGAATCTTGAACCTGATAATGTTGGTATTGTAGTATTTGGTAATGACAGGCTAATCAAAGAGGGTGACATTGTCAAACGTACCGGAGCTATTGTAGATGTTCCTGTTGGTCCTGAAATTTTGGGTAGAGTTGTAGATGCTTTAGGAAACCCTATTGATGGAAAGGTATTTCTTGGTGCTTTTGTTTTATTTTGCTATCATTCCATATTTTATTAAATTTTACCTGTTTTCCCTTATTGAAGATTAGTCTTTAATTCTTGAATTTGTATTGTAAAATTAATTTCATGTGTTTCATTCATCAAGATTAAGTGAGTACAAATATGCAAATTAAAATTTTGTTACTGAATGAACAGTAATTTAAGGATTGTTAAAATGGCTGTAAAATCTTGGAAATTTGCTTATTAATGAGAAAAGGATCACGTAAATTTTAATACTTTATTTTTTTAAACTTCATGCTTTTCCAATTAAATTCTATTTACAAGTCTTATTTATATTTTTATTTTGTAATTACTTAATATATATTCCACACTTTGCAATGTCAAATCTTCTAACTTGTATTTTCTTTTAAATATTTATGTACTTTAAATATATTGATTGATTTCATTACTTATATTATTACTCAAAACCTTAAATGCACTACTTTACACCATGAACAATTGCAGCATCTTTTATTTATTTATTATTTTTTTTCAATCCTAATTTATTGGAAATTCTTTCCTTTAACCGAAAATCTGATTGCTTTTTTCGCCAAGTTTTTAATAATTTAGTTCTTAAACATTTTATTCAACATTTAAATTGCCCCAAAAGACCTCTGTAAGTGAAGTGATGCAGTCAAAAACGATCACTGATTGGTTATGACATCACATTTGCTGAATGGATATGTGCTGCCTCCATCTACTAAGGCTGTTTCATTGCTCTTTTCGTTTTGATATTACTTATATCGTATGAACACCCTTTTTAAATTATTAGTAAAAATTTTGTGAACTAAATTTATTGTTTTGAGAATGTGCAAAATGAAAAATTTTAACTATTCATTTTTTTGCTAAACTGTTCATTTATCACTTAAAATCTGAAGAAATGACTATGCAGCTCTTCACAGCTAGTCAACTTTTGCTGAAATCATTGGTGTTAAAGTTCAAATAAAATATATTTTATTCCACTTATTTTTAAGTTACAATAATGCTCCATTACAGCCTAATTACTTAATTAAAATCAGTCACGGATTGGATTGAAATTATATTTATTTAGATATCTGATGGATGATTTTAGTATTCATTATTGCATTAAAACAAATCAGTATTTTCACAAATCTAGTCCAAAGTAAATACTTACTAATGCAGTTTATCTCTTTTTCTTTTACTACTATTTATTAAGCATTTAAATACACATTAATGCTTGTATTTATTATTCTTTGAGTAAATAGGAATTTTGTTAGTTAGAAATTATTTTGATTTACAAATTTCTCTCCTTATTTTTGCAAACTATTTGTTAGTGTTTGCAATGAAAAATTCCAAAATAATAACATGAATATATTTTTAATTTTAAAAAATTTAATTAAATTAGTTGAAAAAATCTCGAGTTATTGCAGTCAAGTCGGTTTTGCCGAAATATCAGCACTTTCGAAAATCTAATTTAAATATATCTATCCATCATTATCGCCTTAATCTACTTATACTTAAAATTTCACTTTATGTTATTTAATTTAAACATAATTTCAGCAAATGTCATTAGCTAGATGTTTTTGTATCACTAAAAGCTAAAGAATAATAATTTAAAAAACGAAATGAAAAAAAATTCTAATGCACATTAATAATTATTTAACTGATATTTCTAAATACAGTAATGTGATATTTATCATTCTCTGAGTAAATAAGAACTTTTCTACAGCAAAAAAAAAAAAAAAAAATTATATGCATTTATAAAATTTAATTCCTGTTTCTGTAATGTATTATAATAACTGAATAAATGCATATGGTTGGTTTCAAATACTCGTATAACATAGATTAAAGCAATTAAAGTTAATAAAATGCACCAGAATATTTTTTTTAATTTTATTTATTTATTTATTTTTTTTATTATTATTTTTTTTTTTTANTTTTTTTTTTTTTTTTTTTTTTTTTTTAATTTTTTTTTTTTTTAAAGCAATTAATTTTTAAAGCTTTGCTGGGATAACAAGTTTTTCAAAAAGCTGTTGCTTTGAGGACGATTCCCTATTTTGAATTACGCTAGAATAAACAATTGAAAAATATCAATAACTTAAGATTTCCAACTTTTGAATTCTAAAAGTATTCTTTATAAAAAGACGGTTCATAATTTCTTTCACTTAACATGAAAAGAAATTAGAAATATTCTTCGAAATCAAAATTATTATGGTTAAAAAAAAATGGAAGGACAAATTGTATCATTTTAATAAGTAATGTAATAAGTTCGGTGGGTACCACTGTAATATGACATTATAAAAGTAGGTTATAGTGAATCCACATTTTCATTAAGCTACATAAAGGCACAATTTATCATACAGATAATTATTGACAATCTAAAATAGAAAGATTTAATTACGAAAAGACAAAAGAAAGCAAAGTGAAGCGTTTTATGCTTAATAAATAGCACTTTTAGGAAAGTAATAAAATGTTATATTCTAAATACTTTTAAGATTTTTTTTAAAAAATTTACAGTAATTTTCCATTTAAATTTTTATTGCTCTAACTGAAATATTTTTGTTGATCTTGATCAAAATACTGACTATTTTGATATCAGAAATCCTCTTTTAAACTTTAATCTTATAAAAATTTTATTAAATATGTATCATAAAATGATTAACTGTTTGTTTCAAAATCTTAAATGTATGAAAATGCAGTTTTAATATTCCCTGACATTAGGAACAAGTATTTAGTATTTTAGGCATGACCTGCACTTTAAAATTTTAGATACCCTGAACTTTAATTTTAGAAAAATATATATTTCCGCCTAGATAACTAAAATAACAATCCAATGTTCTTTACCTTCATCGACAGTCCCATGTAAAATAATCAATTGTTTAAGTAGTGCTGTACCATATTATTTTCTATGGGTCAATATAACTCAAAATTTCCACATTTTAGCAATTGTCAAGCTGATTTCCAAATTTTAACAATAATGTATATCTTATACTTTTTGATAATTTATCACCTGTTTCAAAGATTAAGAACCCATGATATCCTGTCACCTTTCTTTCACAGTTTCAAAATATTCTGCATTTTATGGGCAAGAACATCAAAAGAAATAGATTAAAAAAAACTGAAGGACAAATGCAGAATTATTAATATTTTGTATTTGGCCACTGAATTTTTGCTCTGTACCTCGTAAGTTAATATTTATTAACTTTAAAGTTTTAATAATTCATTATTTTTCTTTAATTTTCAAGGGCCCTATCCCCTGTAAGCAACGAGCTCGAGTTGGTGTAAAAGCTCCTGGTATTATTCCTCGTATATCTGTACGAGAGCCTATGTTAACTGGAATTAAGGCTGTAGACAGCTTAGTACCCATTGGAAGAGGGCAGAGAGAATTGATTATTGGTGACAGACAAACAGGGTAAGGTTTTTCCCTAACAAAAGTTAATTTTGTTTTAAATGAATTTTATTTTTTAAGGATAATTTTTTTATTGCTCTTGCAGTAAAACTGCCATCGCAATCGACACAATCATCAATCAAAAACGATTCAATGAAGGTTCTGATGACAAGAAAAAGTTGTTCTGCATCTATGTTGCTATTGGTCAAAAGAGAAGTACTGTTGCCCAGATTGTAAAAAGATTAACAGACTCAGGTATGCTGGAGTTGCCTGCTTTGCTTAAACTGAGTGAATGATTTTGATCTAACCTAAATGCTATGTTTCATATTTAGATGCCATCAAATACACTATCATTGTGGCTGCAACTGCATCTGAAGCTGCCCCTCTACAGTACCTGGCTCCATATTCTGGATGTGCCATGGGTGAATACTTCAGGGATAATGGAATGCACGGTCTCATCATTTATGATGATTTATCTAAACAGGTGCGTGATAAGATACAATTTAACCACCAAAACAATTTTATATCAAATGTATGTTGTAAAAGCAGGAGTGGAGATTTTCTTTTTTATAATCGTTTGAGTTTCTAGTAATAAAATTTATCAATGGTATGAGTGTAATACATAATTTTAAATCTTGTTATATATTGGTAAAACTGTTGCAGTTTCACCAATTGTGCGGTTTGGTGTTTTTAAATGGAATATCTTAAAATTCAACAAATTATGCTGGAAAGGTTTTGCTTCAGTAATAAGTGGGGTTTTTTTTTTATTATTATTATTCTCATTTGATCTGCTTAGCTTCTGAACTTTTAATCGATCAATTAAAACTTTTNTTTTTTTTTTTTTTTTTTTTTTTTTTTTTTTTTTTTTTTTTTTTTTTTTTTTTTTTTTTTTTTTTTTTTGAAGCAATTAATTTAAACCTTTGCTGGTATAACAAGTTTTTCAAAAAGCTGTTGCTTTGAAGACGATTCCCTGTTTTGAATTACGCTAGAATAAACAAATGAAAAATATCAATAACTTAAGATTTCCTACGTTTCAAATCTAAAAGTATTCTATATAAAAAGGGGATTCATAATTTCTTTCAATTAACATGAAAATAACTTTGAAATATTCTTTGAAATTAAAATTATTATGGTTAAAAAAAAATTAAGGGACTAATTTTATCATTTAATGTATTAAGTTCAGTGGGTACCATTGTAATATAACATTATAAAAATATGTTATAGTGAATCCACATTTTCATTAAGCTACATTAAGGCACAATTTATCATACAGATAATTATTGACAATCTAAAATAGAAAGATTTAATTACGAAAAGACAAATGAAAGCAAAATGAAAAGTTTTATGCTTAAAGATAACTTAATAAATAGCACTTTTAGGAAAGCAATAAAATTTTGGAATTTTCCATTTAAATTTTTATTGCTCTAGCTGTAATATTTTTGTTGATCTTATCAAAATTTTATAAAATTTGTATCATAAAATGATTAACTGTTAGTTTCAAAATCTTAAATGTATGATAATGCAGTTTTTAATATTCTTTGACATTATGAACAAGTATTTAATATTTTAGGTATGACCTGCACTTTAAAATTTAAGATACCCTGAACTTTAATTTTAGAAAAACATATATTTCTGCCTTGGTAACTAAAATAACAATTCAATGTTCTTTACCTTCATCGACAGTCCTATCTAAAATAATCAATTGTTTAAGTAGTGTTGTTCCATATGTTTTTTGGGTCAATATAACTCAAAATGTCCACATCTTAGCAATCGTCAAGCGGATTTCCAAATTTAATGAATAATATAAGTATATCGTATACTTTTTGATCATTTATCACCTCTTCCAAAGATTAAGAACCCATGATATCCTGTCACCTTTCTTTCACTCAAAGGAGTTTCAAAATATTCTGCATTTTATGTGCACGAACATCAAAAGAAGTAGATATGTAAAGAATTTCTTTGAAACAGTTACTACACAAGTAATTACAAAAAAAAACTATTTTCCGGACAAATACGGAATTATTAATATTCTGTATTTGGCCACTGAATTTTCGCTTTGTACCTCGTAAGTTAATATTTATTAACTTTAAAGTTTTAAAAATTCATTATTTTTCTTCAATTTTTAAGGGCCCTATCCCCTGCAAACAACGAGCTCGAGTTGGTGTAAAAGCTCCTGGTATTATTCCTCGTATATCTGTACGAGAGCCTATGTTAACTGGAATTAAGGCTGTAGACAGCTTAGTACCCATTGGAAGAGGGCAGAGAGAATTGATTATTGGTGACAGACAAACAGGGTAAGGTTTTTCCCTAACAAAAGTTAATTTTGTTTTAAATGAATTTTATTTTTTAAGGATAATTTTTTTATTGCTCTTGCAGTAAAACTGCCATCGCAATCGACACAATCATCAATCAAAAACGATTCAATGAAGGTTCTGATAACAAGAAAAAGTTGTTCTGCATCTACGTTGCTATTGGTCAGAAGAGAAGTACTGTTGCCCAGATTGTAAAAAGATTAACAGACTCAGGTATGCTTTAGTTGCCTGCTTTGCTTAATCTGAGTGAATGTTTTTGATCTAACCTAAATGCTATGTTTCATATTTAGATGCCATCAAATACACTATCATTGTGGCTGCAACTGCATCTGAAGCTGCCCCTCTACAGTACCTGGCTCCATATTCTGGATGTGCCATGGGTGAATATTTCAGGGATAATGGAATGCACGGTCTCATCATTTATGATGATTTATCAAAACAGGTGTGTAATAAAATGGAATTTAACCATCAAAACATTTCTATTTCAAATTGTAAAAGCACATGAAGATTTTCTTTTTTATAATCATTTGAATAAATTGGTGAAACTTGCGCAGTTGTTAGGTGTTTTTAAATGTCATATCTTAATATTCAACAAATTATGCTGGAAAGGTTTTGCTTTAGTAATAAGTGTTTTTTTTTTTATTGTTATTCTCGTTTGATCTGCTTAGCTTCTAAACTTTTAATCAATCAGTTCAAAGATTTAATGAAATTATAATTAGTAATTTTGGTCTAGTTATGAGAATAAATTTCCTAGATACATTATATTTTATGTTATAACTTTTATGAGTCTTCTTTCTAGTCTTTGTAGCTCAGCATTAATCAAAATCATATTTTTGAATTTGTGTTTTATTCATTCAAAACTGAACTGAAAAATGAACTTTGAGAACAAAAGGGCTTTAATTTTTTTTTTTTTTTTTTTTTTTTTTTTTTTTTTTTTTGTAATGAATGTTTTTTTAGGAAAATGCAAAATTAAAATGAGAGTAAATGAAAATTGATTTTAATATGATGATATTTTTTTCTTAATAAGCTGATTGTTTTTGTATTTTTATTTTAACAGTAATTGATAAAACAGAAAGAGTTTAATTTCATAATAATTCAAGAACATAGTTGATTGATTACTTGTAAATTTATGTGAATGTTTATTTAAAAAATAATTATTTATAATTGCAAGTAATTATCCTTACACCAAAATTTTGGGTTTTTGACACTTGTCCAAAACTTTACCTACCCTGGTTTTGCATTTCCCATCATAAAAAAACTTCATACTGCTTCAAATTTACATAATATTTTGTCCATGCAGTTGTAAATTTGTGCAATTAATATGTTAAAACTTTTGAAGTCTGACCTGCAATTTATTGAATTGTGTTTTGATGTGGTATATTTGTTTCTGTTTAAATTTTATTACTTTAAAATTCAGGTTTTCATTTATTTAAGCATACTAGCTTAGTTTGTCACACTTTCATAATAAACAGAACTCAATGTTTTTAAATAGTCAAAATAATTTTTTTTAAAGAAAGGTTTATAATTTTTAAAGGCATATCTAGTAAAAAGCAAAGTAACTGGAATTTTTGGAAATCTTTGAAAAGTATTTAAAATAATAATTTATTAAATATATCAATTTTTAGTTTAGTTTCGTGTTATCTTTATAGCTGCAATTTTTAAAAAAAGAATGCTGCATAATTAAAGATTTAATTTTTGATTGACATTTTTATTACCATGAACCATTTTTCTAGTAAATACTATAATATGAAGCACTAAAAATTTTGTTTTTAAATACTCATAACAGCTGGTACAGTTTTTTACGTTCCGCTCCTACTTTTTCCCCATTTTGAAAATTAAATTTTTTGCTGATAATTTTAATTACTTTTATAGACCACTTTTATAGTTTCTTGTTCTTAATTTTTCATATGTCATTATCGAGGCATTTTTAATGAAAAGGAATGTTTAAAGTTGAGATTTTCAGGGAGTAGTCAGTTTTTTCCCCCCTTTTTTAATTTGCACTTCTAAAATCTGTAGTTTTTTTTTTTTTTTTTTTTTTTTTTTTTTTTTTTTTTTTTNTTTTTTTTTTTTTTTTTTTTTGTAATTCAGATAATTGTACTTCTACTGTCCATCACTCCTCAAGATAGATAAAGTATACAACAAATAGTTTGGAGTTTATTTATGCTATATGATTTTATATTAAGTTTACCTAGTTTTAAGGAGTTTAGAAATGTCATTGAGTTTGTGTTTTAAAAGCTTTCGGTAAAAAAGAAAAAATTGTAGTCAATGTTAATTTTGCATACACACCTAGACAATGTCAATTTTTTTTAATTTATAATTACTTGTGATTGTATTGTTTTGCTGGTTTCTAAATTTCACTAATTCAAAAATATTGTGCAGGCTGTTGCTTACCGTCAAATGTCCCTGTTGCTGAGGAGGCCCCCTGGGCGTGAAGCTTACCCTGGTGATGTGTTCTATCTTCACTCTCGTCTTCTAGAAAGAGCAGCAAAAATGAATGACACTTTCGGGGGCGGATCCCTCACAGCTCTCCCTGTTATTGAAACTCAAGCTGGTGATGTATCAGCCTACATTCCCACTAATGTCATCTCTATCACCGATGGACAAATTTTCTTGGAGACTGAGCTCTTCTACAAGGGCATCCGACCAGCCATTAATGTCGGTCTCTCTGTCAGCAGAGTCGGATCTGCTGCCCAAACAAAAGCCATGAAGCAGGTTAGTATCAATATTAAATCCAATTTTTAGATTTTGCTCATTTAGTCTTGCTTTTTTGTTTCAAAATAGTGTTTAAATATATTTATTTTTAAGTAATTGTTAAATTTTTCTACATATTTTGCTTTGAGTATAACAGCAATATCTGTTTATGGGCATTAGACCTAGGTTTGCCAAAGTGGGCCTAGCGGAGAAAAACCTTGCTGATTTTTACTGACAGGCTACTTGAAAAAGACTCATCTTTAAACTCATTTATTGAGTTTTTTTTNCTTTCGTTTTTTTTTTTTTTTTTTTGCCATTATCAGAAACATTTCTTCTGATATATCAACTGATTTTGTTAATTGATAACCATGCAAAAATTTAAGAAATAAGATATTTCATAGTTTATTTGGATTGTAATCTCATCAGGGTTGGTTAAAAATACATCAACTTATATATATCATAATACATATGATATACATCCAATTTTAATTTAAAATGTTTTCTGAATCTGTTATTAAAAAAAAAAAAAAAAAAAAAANAAAAAAAAAAAATTAAAATGTGGAAATAAACTTTCTATTTATAAAAAAGCTTGTCTATTGATGAGAATTTTAAAAATCTTTTTATTTTTCCACTACATTCAATACAGAATGAAATAGATTTTATTAAGTGCATTATTTTGCATTGTAACTGACATAATTATTCCTAACATAAATGTTTGCAGTTTTCTTTTTGTAATTCTGACATCTGCTTCAATCTTCAGAGGAAAAAACTAGTCATCAAATCTAAAAGTATTTAGTATTTGTTCTGATTATTATTATTATGTATTCTTTATTTTCTCACTTTTTAAATGATATTTATTTTTTTCAAGAGTATGTTTGAAGATTTTTCTCTGAGATCTAGTTTTTTAATTGTCAATTCTACTTTTTTGTTAATTTTTCATTACTGTCTTTTTTTTTTTTTTTTTTTTTTTTTTTTTTTTTTTTTTTTTTTTTTTTTTTTTTTTT